TTGCGCCTTAAGCCAACCCAGTGAACTTCATAAACGACCTTAAGTTTGTGTTTAATCCCCCACTCCTAAACTTTCATCAGATATGTCACCTACTGTACATAATAATTCAAATAGTATTTTTGGTTCTATAGCAATAAGCAATGAAATTAAGGGAGTCCGATGGCGACAATTAAGTTGGCGTCTCATGAGGTGGAAATCCAAACTTTAAACTGTACCAGCGGGATAATTTCTAACACGCATCCAACATGTTGAAGTAGAGGCAGACGAGGCCATGGTGTCAATTGAATTGGCTACCGAAATTATGAACGGCTTTCTCCGAGATAAATATCACGAGACCCACCAAAATCTCGAACAGGCGCATATCATTGAACTCCTCCGACTGTGTCTTAAGACTTATTTCCCCTTCAACGGCCAGGTGTACGAGCAAACGTAAGAGATAGCTATAGGCTCGCCTCTGTCTGAAGTTAGTGCCTAAGCAGTTCTGCAGATATTCGAGCTGCTGGTCTTTGAATCAAAGCCCCCACAACTCTCGGCCAGAAACGTCGATGACACGTTCTTCATACCGAAGAGGGGCCACGTAGAAGCCTTGAGGACTTTATTAACTTTCATCTTACCCGACATCCAGTTTACCAGGGAAGAATATATCAACAATCAGTTGCCCTTCCTTGATGTCCGAGTTACAAAACTGACAAACGAGAAGATTAGGACAAACAACACGAGACGCATCCTCCACATCCGAAGCAACCACTCTGTTAGTCGCAAACGCAGTGGTGTCAAAATCCTCTTCCGACGTGTTCGGACAATATTTTCCGGTTCCGGCATGGGTATGTTTTACCCTTTTTTACTTATTTTGCAGTTCTTCCGTTTGATTCTGTCATACTTGGTAGCACAGAAAATGCCTTCGTTATGAGACTACTCCCAATTTCGCCAAAATTAATGACCATTACGCTTTATAATATTAACTAAAGTACTCTTTTCCTAACTGAAGGACTTTAGCCGGATTAGACCTACTCAGTGGATCAAAATAAAATTAGCATATACAGCACAGCAAGTCCTGCATGCAAATTTCATGACGAAATTTAACTTGGTAGTGCAGCACATTTTTGGACGGGTTATTTAAATTAACTGAATGGATTTCATAATTAGAAAGGCTTTAGTTTGCGAAACAGCCCTCTTAGTTAAAGTTGTGGAGCAAAAAAGGCGCTAGTTTTGGCCAAATTATGAGTCAGTTACTATCGAAGGAATTTCCTGTGCTATAAGGTACGACAGATCCAAAATTTGTATTAGTATGCATTGTGCTATGGAAGAATTCCAGCATAAGTAAAAAAGTGTAAAAACTATCCCTTCCAGAACTGGAAAATATTGTCCGAATTTGCTCAAATGGAAGTGAAGCCAAGTTTAAGGAATCGCATTTATTTTCAGAAAGAAGCACCAATTCAAGTTTCTAAAATTATTGTTTGCTATTCTGTTAAGTTTTGTGTCATAAAGTGCAGTAATAAATTTGTATGACAAAACTGTTCCACCCCACCGATAACCATGAGCACATGAGCATACTTTGCCATATATTTTACTGTGAAGGTGATGTACAGGAGGCCTTATTAAAGGTAAGTTAGGTGGAAATATACCTTTGTAAACTAAACGTTCCGTTTATGTGTTATTTAGGAACGGAACAGATGGAAGAGAAATATTAATTTCAAAAAAATGGCCATGCATATGCTCAGTTTTTTTGCATTCGCAAGCCTATAACAGATGGAATCAATCCATTTGTATGGAAAATAATTCATTATAAATAGAGAACTAAAATAGCTCATTTCCAGTACAATTGAATGGTTCATCTCCAGGTATATTTAAAAAATTGTCAAATTTCTCCGATTTCATTTTGACCTTAACTTGCAAATAGTTAATATGCGCAACAATTTGTCAGCTGAATATCTAAATAAAGTACTTTTTAATGAGGAAACTAATAATGGGAAGTTTATTTATTTATCTTAGGAATAACAATATCTGAGTTATCTTGCGAACGCTATTTTTCCTCGACAGTGTGCTTTGCTGTTTTAACAAATTTCTAAATATGCTTCGCATGGCCATATTCATAAGAACTAATATCCATAAACTCATTTTTTTCGGTAAAGGCTCTTAATATTTATCTTATTTTAAAGGTTTAGATGTAAACGTCGAACATAAGTACAGTTTGGGTGCGATGGGCGAGAAGCACAATTTATCAATGAAGACATTAAAACGGTCGAAATGATACCAGACATTATTCGACGATATTCAATAAGTAGTTGTCCACAGAACAGAAAACTTTGTTTTGCGTTCATGAAATTGAGATAACTGTATGCAAGATTTACATTCTTTCAGAAAATCTATCTGATTTCTTACAAATGCTCTTACAATATTAAAATCTGCTCTTCGGTTTCCGGAACATATATATTTTTAGCTCGTTGTGCTTATATTCGTGTTCTTCTAGGACACAACGCAACCGCTATCGTTTTGGAAGGGGAAATCGGCGGGCTCTTACGGGATTCGCTTGTCCCGTCTTGACGGTGACACAGCCTGCGACCACACTCTACTGACTTATACGGTTAAAACATATACTCTGACACAGAATATAAAAATGATTGGCCAAAAGTATACGGTAAATGCTGGGCAAATTTGGAGACCTCCAAGGTTAAATTCTGTTCAACCGCTGAAAAGGACCCTAACCACCCATTGCACTATCGAGTACCCTCTGCTGAGAAATGTTTCACGATGAAGGCAGTAGGTGTACTCAAGCACGGTTGACAAAGTTGTTCGAGTCTATGAAATTCGCCCTTGAATTTAGGTATAAACGTCTATATTTTGTTTCTGAATAATGTTAGCGGAAAGAGCGAGCATCAGGAGGAGGAAATCATTCAAGGAAATAGGTTTTTCCAATAAATGTTTTCAGAAGAAGGTATGCACTTACTGCCAGACATATCCGGCGCACATTAAAGGTGCACAATTTTATCTTAAATTCTTCTGAACACTCGCCGATAGCGTGATGTACTGTCTGCCTGACCTCCGCTATAAA